GGAAGCTCCACTGGAGTCTGATAGTAGTGCAACAGGGGACTTGCTTTGCCCTGTTAATGAAGTTTGTAATAAGTACGAGCATCTACAACTAAACTACACCCCCAGGACTCACAAACCTATCTTTTGCTAGAAAGAAGCAACTGCCACTCACCCAAATTTCTGTGGATCCTACTTTTTTTTTTTTTTCCCCTGAAAGGAAGAAAAAGTATGATGGCTTCTGCAACTAACTGGAGCAAAACAAATTTTCTTTGCTTTTCTTTACTTAGGCAAAAGCTGATCTGATAAGTATTTAAGAAACTACTGTAGCAGTAAGGTATCATTAAAGATAAGTAATAAATTGTGGCTTGAATGTTTTGGTTTTTCTTTTTAAGAGAAGCTGAACCATTACAGTACACTACACGCCATCAGAAGCTGCTAATATTATAGTGCATTTCACAGATTTCTCTACTTTTGGCTTATCAGTGCTGTGCTAGCCGGGCTGAGGCCGTGCCAGCTGCCTGGCCAGTCAGTTGCAAACAAACCACAACCAGACATGTAACAAGCAATGTAAACTGTAAACACAGCCTTTTCCTGCCATTTCTGTTTTGACTTTCTCATGCTCTTCCTTCACTTTCCCCATTGCCTCCTCTAGCTGTTGCCAGCCCCGTTAGTTCCCCCCAAGACCCCAGCTTGGGCATGGGGCAGGGAGCCAGGCCAGCTTGCAGAGATCCCATCTGCGACTGGACCCTCCTGAAACGCTTGCCCTTGGCCTCCCAGTGTCCATACACCACTGTGTAAGGGGCAGCATTCACCCAGCTTATTCATTCAAATATTTTAACCTCTGTAGCAGGTACTTTCTCTTCTTTAACTGGGGAATCCCCTCAGAAGCACATGAAACCCTCACCAAGAGGCTCTAAAAACACAAAGCAGCAAAACACGCTTCCCATAGAATCATGGAATGGTTTGGGTTTGAAAGGACCTTATCGATCATCTCATTCCAAGCCCCCTGCCATGGGCAGGGACCCCTTCCACCAGCCCAGGGTGCTCCAAACCCTGTCCAACCTGGCCTTGAGCACTGAACTATTTTCTTTCTAGCTCATGACCCCCTCCCCAGAGATGCACCCACCCTTGATTCTTAACACTGACAGCTGGGTACCTGGATTTTTCTCCTCTGCACACGAACTCCTAGAAACTCTGGGTAGCAGCAAGCACAGGGTCACTGTCCGCTAAATAACCTGGGCCACTAATTAGCATATGGATTTCCTGTAAGAAGCCCAAAAACTTTAATTACAAAAAAAAATTCAGTTGCAAAATACCAAATAGCGTCAAAAAATAGCCAGAAACTTTAATTACAAAAAAAAATTCAGTTGCAAAAAACCAAAAAGCGTCAAAAAATAGCCAGCAGAATTAGTTTTTTTTTTTTTTTAACGTAGCTGTTCTTTATTAAGAGGTACTTGGTGATAAGCACGGAGGTCATTGCTCACCCCAAACCGCAGGCCCGAGCCCCCCACCCCGG